TTCTGGAGAGGAAATCAAGACACAAATAACAAGTTCACGAGAAAATGCAGAAAAGAATTAAAAGCTTGTGAACAGAACAAAGGAATGACAATGAACTAGGTTGTTCTCGGAAGTACCAATTATCACGAAAATGACAAATTGTACCAAACCACTCTATTTAAAGTGCGTATGTTGGGTTCCTCCCAACATTCTGCAATTCAGTCTTATGTATGATTGCAATTCTTAATTGCTATTTATTTTCTCACTTTCAGCAAACTATAAAACACTTTAATACTCGTATATCACTTATTGAAACCGTCGACATCAGTTTGGCAAGGAATTGTAAGAGCATAAATAAGATTACGAAAAGTGAATATTGTAGGAACGAATTAAGGCACAAAAGAATAAAAATAAATTATTTATGACATTCGTCACTAAAGCAGAAGAAACCGAGTGAAAATGAGATGAAAATTGAATTTGTAAGTTTTACTGGAATCTTGTATTCTCTCGTGACTTGAAGTATTGATTTTTCCGCGGAAAAGCCATTCGGTGCTCTACTTTAGCCGTTTCCTTTGCTAAAGAAAGAAGTCTGATTGACCTACCAGGAAAGGAGATATGTAAAATTCATTATGGATGAGGGGAGTATATTGTTAACCAAATTTCGTCAGCTGTTCCCTTTTATACATTTTCTTCACAACATATGTTTTTTCATGCAAAAATGAAACGGTGGAAAAATAGAACTTGTATCAGCCGAAATAAAATGAACAAGCGAACGTATAACAGAAGGAGCTTTTTATTCACCTAGCATAAGCTAGTCCTTCAGTGTTATTCTCTCTCAACCAGTAGGCAGTTGTACTGAAGGTCGGTGGATTGACAACATTGAATATTATCGTCAGCGCCAGTTAAAATGCACTCTTTTATGAAAAAAGCACACACACACACAAATAATAAATCAATGAAAATGCATTTCGAACAATAATTTATACGCAAATTGAAGAAGAACAATTCTAACACCCACTAAACCTCCACATTAGTTCAGAAAAAAGTTGTGAACATCAAATGGACACACCGCAGTCTAATCACGAATTACAGAAACCCGTAATCATTTTGCCTTAACTGAGTGTCGAACTCTAAATCAAATGAGTGTTCATTACTCTACACGAAAGTAACCATAATCGCCTCGCTACATCCCGTTCACCGACACTCTCGGCCTTCAACTTCCGCATCCTATCCGCCCTCCAACACAGACCTCTTGCGTGGGGGGCGTGTCCTCTCCGCCCACGCTTCCCCCTCCCCTTCGCGTCGCCCACGGCCCTTCGGCGCCCTCGCGCCGCGCAGCCGCGTTTTTTGCCCCGCGCCCTAATTCCCTTCCTCCCCCCCCGCCCTCCCGCGCGCGCTGCGCTGCGCTGCGCTGCTCTGCTCCGCCCTGCCCCGCCCCGCGCGCCGCTTCACCTCAATCTCAAGACAAACACGCCCCGCCAACGCGCTGCCGCTCCCACCCTACGCACCGCCGCCGCCGCCCCCGGCGCACCCTGGTGCCGATGCGTCAAGACGCCCGCAGCAGAACTGCCTCCGCTACAACCGTTCTTTCGTTGTGGGCCCAAGGAGCTTCTACGATCATTCTAAACTAGCAAGGTGACGTAACAAATGAGGGGATCACCTCGCACATGTGATGCATATACTATTTTAACACGTCGTCTTAACAATCTTAAGGACGTTTCGCACACTGTTAGTTAGATTAAAAAATTGGCGCAAGCATACGAAACCATGTTTTCCGCACGAAATGTTCAAAAGACATTATTCTATCGACATTGAATACGTATACTTTATATTTATGGCTTTACTGTTTATTATTTATATTCAGTATTTGGAGCATACACATTGTAAATAATAGGAATATATGCTGCTTCATAGTAGTACTAGTAACCATCATCTGCAATTGCATTATATTGAAAAGCCTGTACTTCAGGAATATATATATATATATATATATATATATATATATATATAACGTATTGTACATAGTACAACGCCGCTCGAAATTCTTTTCTTCACATTTGTCACACTATATTGAAAAACAATACATTGGGTCTTCAAGGTTCTTGTCTTACAAAAATATTTAAAAACAATATTAATGCGATTTAAATCAATGTATAAATTATGAATTACGAATATCGCACTTATAATTTATACTAGAGCTGATTTTTAAAAAATCTTCACATCAATTCATATCTAATATTGAATCTGATTGAACGTAGTGCCCATTTTTGTAAAAGATCCACCCTTTTGTTCAGAAGATAAAGTCGTTTATCCACAAAAAAGTAATTTGAGAAAAAACGTCATATCTGTATAAAATGTCACACATTTAGGCACAGCGAAACGAAATTAGACGTTTCGTAATGCTCAACATTCTGTTTACGGATTTGATAATTAGTAAGTGATCTCAAAATGAAACTATGGACACTGTCATAGAAAAGGCAAATTTTTAACAAAAAAAGAGACATACTTATATTTATTATATTTTTATTCATTTGTTTAGTTATATACTCAAAGCATTTTATCGTTAAAAGATCACAGATTTAAATATGAATTTTCTTACACCTTTTCACAATAATATATTTGATGTTACAGAGCAAAACTAAAGTCTCTGCATAAAATTTGTATTCAAAATACAAATTATAAATTCCTTTAAGACGGGCATGGAAGCCAATGGAGAAACAATATTGAACGCTATTAAAAATCTACTGTGAAACAGAATTCCATGGGATACTTTTACATTATTTTATGCGATTATTTTACGTAGAAACCTTCTAGTAATGATTTTCTAGAAATTTGTTTCTCATTATCAATTAAAGACGTGTACATCATGTAAAAGTATTACCACAACGTGCACGTATTTTTAGCACAACATGGCGAGGTTTGAAAGTTGATTAATATTAATTATGAAAATGTAGCTGTTAATATCAAATATATTTATTTTCATTCATAAAGTAATCGTCTAAAGGTCTACTCGCACATTAAAAATTGGAGACTAAATCCATAATACTCGTGATATTACGTCTGCAAAATGTCTTGACTGTAAAAAGATAAAAATGTCGAGAGAACACCTGACATACGCTTTCCGCCCACTGCGTTTCACTGTCGCCGTCGGGCTCGCCCTCGCCCTCGCCCTCGCCCTCGCCCTCGCCCTCGCCCTCGCCCTCGCCCTCGCCACTCGCCACGCCAGCACTCGCCACGCCTCGCCCACGCCTCGCCCAACCACGCCCTGCTCGCCTCGAATCGCCTCGCTCGCCCCCGCTCGCCACGCCCACCTCGCCCCGCCTCGTCCCCGCCCCCGCCCTCGCCCTCGCCCTCACTCACGCCCGCGCCCTCAGCGCGCCAAGCCACCGACGACGCGACGCGGCTGCAAGCTGCCGCCCCGCCCCCGGCACGCCGCGCCACGCGCCGCCCTAATTCAGTTCCGCGCCGCGCCGCGCCGAGCGCTTTTTGCGCCTCCGCTCTCGCCCCTCGCGGCATCCGCGCGGCCCAACTCCCCGTCGAGACGTGCAGCTTATTTAGGGAGCAGGCGGAGCAGCAGACACATGCTGTCAATGAGGGGCTAACACGCGAAGGTTGGGTTGGAGGAACCGAAGAACAAAATGAAGAATAAATCGGTAACTAGGTGAAAGGAAAGTGTAAAACAGAAGATAGGACGAAGAATAGGTGTTAATAGTTATAGAACTTGATGATTCTATATATTGCAAAGTTATTGCACCATCAGAAACAACATGGGGTGATAGTCAAAGATCAATTATATCCGTACATTACATCTTCACGAAGAATTATGTTAAAAAGAAAACATTATATTCGATCTTGACCACATTTGCATCTGAAACAAGGTTCAATAGAGGTAGAATAGGTTCTCGAATTATATTTCTCTCACTGTCTGTTAATGTCCTGAATACCTTATTTTATAATTACGCCTCAGGATTCTGTAAGAACTATTTTGCATAACGTGTATCCGTGCTGAAAATAATTTTGTGTAATTTTCATTTCCACATTTCTTTCGATACAATGAATAAAATAACCAATTGTTGCTTACCAATGTTGCTGTCTTAATATTGTATTTGTTTCTTAAAGTATGTTATATAGTATTCCGTGTCTTTAATTGAAGGGAATATTCCCTGCAGGATACTTTTAACGGGAGGTACATAAAGAGCTCCAAATTCTAGTTTCGTCATTAGTAAAATAATGCCACTTGAGGCCACAAAGGAATCTCGCCTATTTGCCTGGAAATGCTAGATTTACTTCGTTGCGAACGCGATTTGAAGTCACTTCCCTGCCGCGGCAAACTAATGGAGTTGCGAGGCACTGCATTCCTTTTCATTTGTTCACGTTTGTGACATCCCAGTTTTATGAGGATTTCCTTTCCTTCTAATTGATATTAAGAACAGACAAAAGAAACAGAAATATAGAGCGCTGGAAGACCAGAAAGGTAAATGAATTCGTATTTCAAAAAAGAGAAATGCCAGGATTATCTCTCTCAAAATGAAAGAAAGTAAATTAGCCTTGCTGCTTTAGAGACGACTCATTTCAAGCTCCGAATTCGTTCATACACACATATTTATTTGCTAAGAAACAATTCTGTCTTGGTTACGATAACCAACCAGATAATGAAAAGAACGAGAAATAGTTATTAGTATTCGCAGCACTATTTGCCAATTTTTGTTTGCGTTAATATAATCAAAGCATTGTGTATTTTCATGTCAATTCACAAAGTGTTCATTGTTTACCGGGTCACACATTTTGATCACGAGATTCCTTCCTTTCGTGAAGGTTTCCACACTTGGAGATGCGTTCGTACGTATTACGCTTTCCACCTACGCTCCCTTTTCGCAATCTCCAATTATTTGCGTCTCCAAACTTCTCAGAAACGAATTCTCCTCCACTGTAGTAAACCCGTTCTATATGAACCTCTTGAAAACTCAATTCACGACGCACACTACGTACTCGTATCTTCCTCGGCGACGCAATACGCAAGTCTAATCTGGATCCGATTCCGGGGTAACGGCCTCTCGCTGCCGGCACCTGAAACCGCATCAAGTAAAGCCCGATTTCCGCGCAGACCGTCGCTCGCGACGCCCTCCCGCGACGCCGTCGCACTCCGAGACGTTATTTCATATCTCCCTCACCTCGCGGGCTTCCCCTCGCCCGGGGGGTGCGTTCTCTCTCTCTCTCTCTCTCTCTCTCTCTCTCTGCCGCGTTCGCTTCCGCCTCGCCCAGCAGCGACCTCCTCCTTCGGCCGCCGCCAACTTGGCGTGCGTCAGTCTCCGCCGTCTCCCCCGTGCGTGTCACACAGCGCACCACCTCCGTCTCGGCGAGCACCTCTCACCGCTTGACGCCGCCACCTTCGTCTCCAACTACTTCCCCGTTCCTCCTCCCCTGGGCTAACCAGTGGCCCCGCTCGCGCCGCTCCTGCCGCTGACGGTTAGCCGATGCGGCCGCATCTGTCAGCGCGTTAGCCGTCAGCGCGTGGAAATGACGCGTGAGGAGCCGCTGGAGGCGGGGTGGCGAGAAAGGCGGAGGTGGTAGTGGCGGGGAGGGAGGGGCGCTGAAGGAGGCGGAGGCCCGGCGCCCCAAACGCAGCACCGCCCCTGCTGCCGACGGCAAGAAAGGTCTGGCGGCGCCCGTGGAGAGCGCGCGCGCCTGCGGGAAGCCGTAGTAGGCAACTCGCGAGGCGTCGAGAGAGCGCCTGCGGGTTAGACCAGCCGCGCGACGTGGCAGGCGAGAGGGAAGCCTACGCCTCGGGGCTCTCGACGATCCTGTTCACGGAAAGCGCTTTAAAGAAACGCGCAACTTCCCTCTGCGGACAGACAAGGGAGGAAATTTTAAGCGGAAAATTTTTGCTGGGCTGAGGAAAGTATGTGCGGCGTAATATTTGGTCTCGTTGGTTTCGTTGCTGTTTTTGCCCTCTCGACGCCGCCTTGTGCAAACAAGTCTTGGAAGTCTGGAGGAGAGAGGTGCCAACGTGCAAACGAAACGAAACGAGATTGAGGAGGTGGAAAAGATCTCGGCAGTTTTAATTTGAAACATCAGGAGACCTGTGATTAAGGTCGTCACTATACTTGAGCAACGAATGTTGTTCTTACACTTCAAGCCAAGATTCGATTAAATACTGTGCATCAGATATTTTAACATTACTTTACGGTTGTATCCATTTCTAACGTTTACATAGAATTTAGTAACTGACGTTTGTTTCTCGTCGATTGAAAACCAACAACGCATTAAAAATCAACATGTATTTTTTTAAATAATTATTTTTCTTTGGTAAAATATTTCTTTTTATATTTATTGGAATAGGTGTACATCATGAAAAATTGCATATATTCCACAATGTGATATAATGTGAAGTGTAATAAATAATTCAGCAATTTAAAAATTGAAATATTTTTAAAATGGATTTGAAAGAGCCTTTGCGCTGCACTCGCACGTGTGCTTTGTGTCAGTTTCCCACTTACGCGTCAAAAAGAAATTTAGGCTTTTAATGGACCTCGCGATAAATCAATTTTGAAGCTAAATCATTTACCATAAATCAATGCTACACGATACCATCGCCTGTTATGCTTATCAAACCCTAACACCACAGACTCGCGCAACGATCGGTGATGGGTTATCGACTGAACTCATCGATTCGCTAGATATTCTGACACAAAACCAACATTGTATTGGAAATCAACTCAACCCAGCGTTGCGTTTTCCGAATAGGAAATAAACGCTGGAGGTAATGTATTTCTCTTATAACATTTCTGTTTAAACATTCAACGTTGTTGTGATTTATGCATTTAATTTGTTACCAATAGGTTTTGTTTCATTGAAAATTAATATTTTTTACTCAAAATATATAAAATTGAATTAAAATGTAGCAAAGTACAGTGTCAAAAGAAATATATGAAAAATAGAAAAAAAGGCAAGAGATTTCAAAGCATAGGCAGTGTCATGTCACCGCCACATTCCCATTCTGATTCATAAAATTAACAAGATCTCAATAGGCTGACAATAATTGGTATTAATTATTATTACAGCATTAAGTATGAAATTCTCAAAAAATAGAGTTCAGAGAAAGAGAAAAGACGAATTTGTTCTGTGCGTCTTCAAAGACATTCAACATTCTCCACCTTCAGCACTTTTCGTGAGTTAGTTTAGAACAGAAGAGCGAGTCAAACCTTGGCGATGCAGTTCGCGAGACTTTCGCAGGGTAGGCAGCTCCCCTCCAGCCCGTTTTGCCACGCTAGCGCCCTCTGCTGAGGAGGAGAAAATGGCGGCGCGGCGTCGTGCAGATGGAGAACACGACTCTGAAGGAAAGCGAGAAGAGCCAAATGATACATTTCTGCTAGTTGAAGTCGATTATGCTGAGAAATTCTTGCAAATGTAATATCAGTCTAGGAATCATGGTGGATGCATTTGAGTGAAATATGGACATACGATTCAACTTAATAATCCTAAAACGACGTGTGCGAAAATTTTATTGCTAAAAAAATAAACTGGTTTTCACCGAAGAAACTAAAGAATTGTTTCGATATATATTATATATATATACATATATACATATATATATATATATACATATATATATATATATACATATATATATATATATACATATAT